CGAATGGAATTAATCATACCAAATTCATAAATGGAAATTACATTATGAAACGTTATCTTGTTTGTAATTTGAGTATTCGTCCGCTGAAGGAGTGGTATATGACTTTCACAAGAAATGATATACTCTTAAAGGCTGGATGAGCAAGATGAGTGTGGAGAAAGAAGATCCGAAAAATGGAGACGGAACAAACTCACGCTCGACAAGAAACGAGAGAGAATGGAAAATTCCGTTTACATCCGCAAGCATTTCCGCACCACTTCTGCTAACATATTCACTTTCTCTGCTTTACAACATCAGCTTCTTTATACAAATGATAATTCTACCCTATCTTGCTAAACAACTCGAAATAAGCGATACAGACATTGGTAGGGTCTCATTTCAATTTTTGTTTGAGAAAATCGCAAATTTATTTGTAATATTCATCGAGAATCCATCCTACCCATTGTACTAACAGAAATTCAAAAGAAACAAAAAGGAATTCTTAAAATTCACAAACCGGTCAACTTCAGGTTTGATTCAAACATTTTTTGGTGTTTTACAAATGATCGGTGGTCCAATTTTTGGATTTTTGATAAGGCGATTTGGCATACGCAAAGCGCTTATTCTTTGTTATACGTCCACTATAATTTCATCGCTACTCAAATTCACTGCTCAAGTTAGTGCGCAATTCATTTCAACAAATTGTAAATTTCATATTTTAATTTCTCATTCTTTCCATTCAATTTCACAAATTTAAACAGAACTTCATTTGCACTTAAAAGAATATCAATGAAAATTTCCATCAGTTTCAAAGTTGTGTCAATTTTATCCATTGATTTCGCTCTAATAGAATAACTTTCCAAAGTTTTTCTTCCAAAATCAAATGATTTAAGAGCAAATTTTCGCTGTACGTTAGCATAATACCAAGTATATTCATGCATGGACAACAAGCGCATCAGACACTCCTCTCGATGATTACTACGGCCGGTAAGGAACGAACAAACGCATTCGGCCGCATGGGAATCACTTTTGGTTAGTGCGAGGTGTTTTGTAGGAAATAATTTCATTTCAGTTAATTTCACGAAATGCACAAACATTACACTGAAACGAATTACC